TCAGGCTGGGATTAGCAGAGTCAAAGGTAGAACTCGTGGACATTAAGGGGTTGTATGGGATCATTTTTGATTTTGATTTTTTTATATTTTGTGTTGTTTAGTGTTTAACATGAAATAAAACATTTGTTATGTTATAATAAGCTTAGTTGTTTTTAAAAATACTTAAAACAATTTTTAGATGTTTGATTGTTTTTTAAAACAAGCTAGTTTGTTTTTGAAAATAAAAAGAATAAAAACATGAAAAAATGCACTTAAGAAACATGTTTTTAAATTAAAAGGAAAAAGAAAAACAAAAAACAAAAGTAATCCCAAATATGCCATAAATCTTCTTGTGGATGAACATTTTTTCTTTTTTTCATAAATCCATCATTCTTTTCCCTTTTAGCAAATTTGCATAGTAGTGTCAAGAAAGGGACAATAACACACGAGAACTTTGAGAAGACCTTCTCTCTTCTCACTGGTGTTCTTGACTACGAGCAATTTAGGGATGTGGACATGGTCATTGAGGTAATATGTTTGTGATGAACTAGCAAAATTTTGTGTTCTTTTGTAGCCAACTAAAAGTCTACTTCCATTTGATTCTTATGACAGGCTGTTATCGAAAAAGTTGACTTGAAGCAACAAATTTTTGCTGATCTTGAAAAATATTGTCCTTCGCATTGCATTCTCGCTACCAACACCTCAACCATTGATTTAAACCTGATCGGTAAAAGGACGAAATCACAGAACAGAATTGTGGGTGCACATTTTTTTAGGTAAGTGGAATTGCTTCAATGCTTTGTTAAATGTTAGGGAAATTTACATACCTAGCACACAATTCTTATGTATTTACATATCTGATAACAAAACTTTCAGATTTACACACATAACCCTTTGTTACTTTAAGCCTATGCATGAAAATGTGTATTTCAATACTAAAAAGTGGTAATAGTGCTATTTTTTATCTTCTATTAATGATTGGAGTGCTTTAGGTGTGAGATATTTAAATACATAAGTATTTGTGTGCTAAATATTATTCTATAACTATATCATTGCCTTCCTCAGCCCAGCGCATATAATGCCGCTTCTAGAGATAGTGCGCACGAATAACACATCTGCTCAAGTTGTTGTGGACCTAATAGCTGTAGGGATAAAGATACGCAAAACACCCGCTGTTGTCGGGGATTGTACTGGATTTG